TCAGCCAATAAGGGCAAAGTTGTGTCGTCATGGAGGCGGTTCCAGTTTGTGCAGCCGGCTGATACCCCTTTTCCACTGCAAAGGTGCCGATGCTGTTCCGGTGCCGATCCCCAATTTGGAACCAGTGCCACGTTTTTCCACCGAAAAAAATAATGGCACCAGTGCCGCAAAATCGGCTCTGAACCGGCACCAAACATTTGCTGGTCTGGATGAAGCACCCGTGTCGTCTTGAGAGGTAGGCGGAGTAACCAAGGCAAAGCAAAATAAAGATAATGCCGGAAAGTGGGCGTGGTTTGTGACATGGACGCAGTGTTGTCACCTGGTTCCCACTGGGCTCTCAAGTCCGTGGAAATGCAGGCTGAGACAGAGTCCTGTAGATTGGAGCTCCATCAGAAATATGTCACCTCCACAGGAAACACGAGACCTCAACTCTGTGTTACAGTGAATAAACCCTAACCTTAACCCTAACCGGAGCTCCACTTTACATCCCTAAAGATCATGTGTTTCCTGTGGAGGTGACATATTTCCGGTGGAGCTCCACTCTACAGGCATCTGCAGCTAAACCCTCTTGGGGGGGCTGAGAGGTGCTGCATGATCTGTCTTAAGTCGTCTTGCTCTCGCAAGGGTTTTGTACCATGTGACATGGTGACACATGGTGACATTTGGCAGCGTACAATAAAAATCTAACCATGATGCATTGTGTCAGGACCAGAATGCATTGCTTTAAGTCCGCGCTGTAAGCGGCTACATGAAGTGGAACGCACCCAATAACAAACATAAAAGTTATTTTTTTTATGTTTTCTTCACCGGTGCAGTGAATTTAAATAAAGAGCTATGATGGTGCTGCAAATGGCTTTGCATAGTAGTAGTGTTAGCCGCTGTGCACGGCATTACTTTACTACAATTCTTACAGATGATTTGTGTTTTGTCTGTCACCCTTTCGCCTTTTATATTTTCCGCCGGGTACCCAAAATACTGCCACACAAAAGATTAAAAAGTGTCTGAGGCATCTACAATAGTAATTTAGTCAGACGCCGACATGCTTACAGCAGCTGATTTGCAGTGAATTCGCAAAACCACTTTTCAGTCCGACGAGAAATCTAATATTGTAATATTGCGAGATTTCGTAACACGAGATCTCGTTATACCGCTACTATCTATCTATCTATCTATCTATTCATTTATTTGCTAAAGCAGGGTGAGACAGTCCCTGGAACAATTGAGGGTTAAGGGCCTTGCTCAAGAGCCTAACTGAAATGTCTCTACCAACCCTTGATTTGAATCAGCAACCTTCTGATCACAACCACAGCGTCTAACTGCTGAACCGCACAGCAGGTGGGGTAGGGCCCTACAGAGAGCACAAAGATCCTACAAGACAGGTGAGGCTGACCTCACATCCAAACTCCCCACTGTATCTCCCATTTACCATCACACCCACTGCATTTCACTCAGAGTAAGATTGCTTCTGTATTGAATACATGACAGTTTAATTGCTGTTCTTTCGCTTCATTCTCTTTTCCTCGGCTGGTCAACATGCCTCGATTTAGAGAAACACAAAGGAGGACGACGACACAAATCTGGATATCCAGAGTGTCACGTCCAAGTACATATCGGCTATAAATACGATAAGCAAATTCAAGTAATCTGACTTAACACAACAATCAGTGCGGATACAAGCCCGACCGCAGCGTGCGACCTTGGCTATCCGTGACGGCGTGTTGGGAACAGACGCCGATGCACAAACACAATGGCACAGACACAGAGAACATGCTCACAAATGGAGGACTCTGCTAATACTATATGTGTCATATAGAAGGATCCCTGAGGAACTGTCATGGTACTGCATAAATACCCATCCATCCCTTTTCCATGCGCTTATCTGGTGCAGTATAACGAAGATCATAAAGCCTATTCCAGGAAGCGTAGACCACAATGAAGGGTAACACCATCAATGGGATGCCACTCCATTATATGGCAAACTCACTAAAATGCATTAGACAGCAATTCACCTAAATCGCAAACTTTGGGACTGCAGAAGGTAACCAGTATAAACGTGTGGAGAAAACAGAGACCCAGAGCCAGTGCGAACCGACAATCCTGAAGGAATGAGCTCATATTGCAACGAAAATATATTGCGCAAAAATTTATTCAATACATAAAACGATCAAAATGGGACAAAAAGTTTTCGGCAACTCCTGTGCACCATTCCTAAAAATGGAAGGCACCCCACACAATGAGCTGAAATTGATTTATTTTTTCGCTCCGCATTCGCTTCCTCAGACAGGAGAGCGGTGCCAAAGTTAAACACGCTCCTTTTAAAAGAGCCAAGACTGCATTTAGACTTTCTCACGGAACTCAGATGGGGGGCGTTTGTATCCCCCCACGCGGTCTACAGCCACCCCCATAAGAGCCATCAGCGGTTTTAAGGCATTTTATTTCCCATTGCTTCATCACAAATCTGCCCGTTGTCATCAGAATCTCGCCAGCCGTCGCGACACATTTTCTTTATTTATTTCATGACTGCCATTAGACGGGTTATTTATTCATATCCAATACTGACTATTGAAACAGCCGCAACTTGGCGTTTCCATGAGGCCCAGCAGTGACGGCACGCCTACCTTTCAGTATCGAGGACCACAATAATTCCATGGGGTTAAGGAACTGCTAGGATGCATCCGTCAACTGAGTAGTCTCCTTAACCGGGGAATCATCATAATGATCTTAAAGGCCACCGATCCCAGGGGAATCAATTAATGAAGACACACAGACACTTACAAAACAGGGGAGCTGTTATCAAGCATATAGCTGGCATTTCTAACAAGACTGTCTGCATTTATCCTAAGTGCCAGTAGAGCTTTTAGCATAGCTTAAACGGCATTAATAAAAACGTTTGTTTTTTGTTTTCATAGATTCTACTTACCTAATCATTCATTGGTCAGGAAAACTGGACCTTCAAGATGTGACAAAACGCGAGGGATTCAGTGAAAGAGACTGATTTCAATTTAACTAGCGGTTTCTGGTTTAGGTAGAGCTGTGATAGTCTGATGTGCCCATATCCAAAGCAGTTTAATCACATATAAATATATGCAGGCTTCAAAGAGAAAACATGCGAAATCGTACATATAATAATCATATAACGTGTGATGTGCTGGGCCTATGGAGAAACTGAATAATGTAGTTAAATACCCCGGCTTAGGTTACGTTTGATTTAGGACAAGCAGATCCTGGATATGGTCTTAGAGACGAAAAGCAACCGAAACTGTACCCCGGCTCATATTTCGTTCTTGGGGGGTAAATGTAAGCTGGAAAGAGAGTCCGCTTCCCCATCTGCGTTCCGCATCAAGCGCTTGTCCATAATCGTTTTATAGGAGCAATTATTATGGTGTTCATTAGGCTCAGCCGGCGTTATGGGCGTAAATGGAGACGAGGAGTCATTGCCGTTATGTATTCGGTCACCCCAGGGTCTCGATCTTCCTCCTTATAATCCAAAGGCAGGGTTTTCAACTCTCACGCATCTGGCGTGACAAATTCTGACTTCTCAAGCAAGAAATCTTACGGCAAATCTCTATCATTCCATTATAAATCTAAAATTAGCGACATAAAAATCATCGGGGTAGTTTGCAAACTTTACAGACTATTTACAAGGTAATAAAACTGTTACATAAACGAAATGATGTCTCGAAATGAAAATCTCATTCCAGCCAGTTGATCAAAGTTGGCAGACCTGCAAAGATAAGTTTTGAAGTATTATTATTATTATTATTATTATTTAACAAGACCAAACATATTGTGACGTCGGGCGGACCGAGGCATCGCGCGGGGGGCTGCAGGTGTTCTGTCATAAAATCCTACCTATCGAGACGTGCTATCGAGCCTTTCTGCGCATGTGCAGCTCCACCGTTTTGGGATTAGGGTTAGGGTCTTAGGGGGTTTGGGGAGGTTAGGGTAAGAGCTAGGGTTAGGGCTATCGATTAGCACTACGGTAGCATTTTTCGACAAGGCAGCATATAGCGACAGAACACCGGTGCTACAATATCTCGCCTTCAAATGGCATTTCCGATCACCGAATGTAGGCTATGCGTCCACGTTTCTTAGTTTTTCGACCTCATGTTATGCAGGTTTTTAAAACATATAAAGTAGCGCGAAAGTTTTTCTTTTTTTTTTAACTGAAATTCGCACCTTCCATTTTTGATGCATTGACCTAAAAGAAATTAGATAAACTCAATTGGATTAATTCGACCAATGAGAAACAGGCGTCTTACGCGTTTGAGCAAACAAGGCCGAGTTGACCCAATTCTCGTTTTATTCTGGCAGCAATCCTCCGCGCTTAAACAATGTTTATAAAACATGAAACGAGAGGCTGAAATATCCTCCATATTCAGATATGAACGGTAGAATGTTTTGTCCGTATTTTTTCTTATCTCTTTTTATTCTGGAGCTGGAGATTAATCCGTCCAGCCACCAATAATAAAGAAAATGGGAAATGAATCTTGTTGTTTGATTTATCATTTACAGAAGCATATACTTACTTCACGAGATTAATTCTCCCTGTCAAACACAGCAGCGATCATCACAGCTCATTCCGGCCCGGTGGAGCACAGTTCCGACCGTCCAAACGAGTGAACATCACTATATAGTTTGTTAGATGTGTTCCCTTTGGTTATGTACTTACGGCATATTAAGTTTTTTTGCCTCTTCTTCTTACACAACAGACATACATTCTGTGTATTCACAGCTATTAGGGAATGGCACGCCTAGAGGTGAACAGACCCCAGAACACACGTCAGATTCCATCGGCTTCAAATGAATTTTGTCATTTAAAATAAAATGCGTTTATTTCAAATTGGTGAAGCCCTGTAAGCATAACAGAAATAGGTCAGGACGTCCTATCCAGGGTGCCTTTGACGAGTTTTTACGATTCGTTTTCATTTGGGCCCATTTAAAATACATAAAAAGAATTGTGTGTGTGTGTGTACTGAGACATGTAATAAACACGAAAGTTTTTAATTATTATTTTTTTATTGTAAAGCTATAAGGAGGGAGTAATTACAAGGTGTTTTCACTTTGATTTGCTCAGCAAAAATAAAAGACCACAATTAGTTTCCAACATGCGAATACTGATCAGAATAAAACAGAACAAATGGGAATTAAAACAAATTAACAAACAACCCATTTCCCTCGAAGCGCACGGTCTGCAAAAAATAAGGTCTCGATAAAAGAGGATAAAATCTCAAAATAGACGAGAAGCCAGTGAATAACTACAGTAATGCCTTAGACTGCTGCATCCACACTGACGTTGCAAGAACCCACCCAGTCACACCCTAACAACCCCTATCTTAAAATATTTTACAATTTTAATTTGCCGTTGGATTCTGATTTAAAAAGCTACACTTGCATGTACATAAAACTGTACAAAAAACAAGGCATCACAAGCATGTTTCCTATATAAATATAACCAACAATTAGGCTACAAACTTGTACTTCCTGCAAAGAGACTTTCGTTGGCTGCTGTTGTCTTTATTACTCGTTTCATTTTTTCATAGATAAACAATTGAACACTTGAATCAACCCCCACTAGCCTCAGTGTCTGCCATTACGATCAGATGTGGATTGATGTGGATTGAAACGGTCTGCACGTACTACCCCTGGCTATAGCGTCACTTAAGATTCAATATAGCTCTCGAAGTCAATTACGTGTGTGTATGTGTATACGTATATAATCTTTGCTATATTTTTTAACCTAAATGCAAAAATTAACTGTAGGTACCCACCAAATAGGTGTATTTCATAAGAAAATTCCGCAAGAAAAAATGAAAGGATCGTAAAGAAACAGGCTGCCGCGTTTGGACATATTGTATTACTTTACAAACCCAATCCAAAATCTCTGGTAAAAAAAACAATGACCATTTACATTTATATGTTTATAACACTGTTGGATTTTTACTATTAATAAAACAACAACAACACCCAACAAAAAGAATGTATATATTTATAAAACTGGCTTTTTCATGCTATACTAGGACAATTATTTCATCTGGATTAGCCTGTTAAGGCCTTGTGATAGCCTACTATTGTCTTTCGTTTTTTGCTTGGCTTATTATTTCATTTGTATGCCTCGGCAAACTCAGCCTGGTCGGTACTTCAATTCTTCTCACTTCATACATTGCGTCCTGACAGAGAAGATGAGGGTAGATATGAGTTTGCTAGTGCAAAATGTATGGCGTGACTTTAGGGGGGACACTGACCACGCTGGACTCAATGCAGATATTCAACACAAAAGTGCCGGGGGGGGGGGGGTAGTTCGCCAAAGCTCTTTGTATGCGCCGCAAGCCCAGATCCCACTAAAATCTATATGTGCTGCAAAATTCCCTTCATTACATGTATATACATACGCTGCAGTTCTTTGTATTCTCTGGTGCGTAAACTACTTTTTTTTGGGGGGGGGGGGGATTCTTATGCATATCTAATTGTTACACTGAAGAAAATGCAACTAACTGGGGAATGTGGGAGGCTATTCACACTACATTCAACACGAAATTTAAATATACGTTTTTTTTTTCGGGGGGTGGGGGTAAAAAGTAAACAGTCAGGATGCAGGCATCTTCCCTGATTGGCTGATTAACATTTTCTCCAGCAAAGACTAACAACTGGATTATCAGGTTGGGTCACAGTCAACTCGATCATTGCTGATTTCTCAACTGAATAACTGCACATCTGTAGAACCAAAAACAGGTAACATCAACATATTTTGAGTGACAACTAAAATACCAAACCTTCTGTATCTATGTCACTACCCCTTTAAGGAAATCTAGTATTTCTGAAATGCTCAAAAAATGTGTGCGCATGTGTGTGTATTTGTCATACTGCAAATATAATTTTTTTTGAGGTGTAGGAAAATAACGATTGCGGTTATGAATATTGTTTTGCTCACAAGTAGTCAAGTCCTTTAATCAAGTTAAAGAGTTTTTGGAGAGTTTACGTGACATTTCACTGCCAATGGAATATGTAGCAACAGACTAGTGCAGATTTATCACTATCCCTGCCATGCCAAATGAATATTGTTTCTGAGTAATATGCACATGGGCAGTGATTATTGAGGGCTGTGTTATAAGCAGTTTCACATCATTGTTTGGCCAGAAACTGCTCCTGAACATCTATGTCCTTGCTGGGTCTGTCTTTGCTGAATACCTCATAGTACTTTCAGATATGAGAAGTTTTGATTTAGACTCACAACCACAACCAAGGTCTTTGTCTTCCTTTTATATCTGGCAGAAGCACCTCCTTTCTGTTACGGTGAGGGCTGTTTCACTCTGACCTAATATGCAACCAGTAGGGTGCATAAGGGGCAAGAGGGGTTAATGGCGGCCAAACACACTCAGAATGGATCCTGCTTGGTAATTCCTTACAGAGTTCACAATTGGAAGTACTTTCCTTGGCTTTTCTGCATATTGATCAGCTGTGTCAACTTTGAGAATGCTTCTGTGGGCATACTGCTGTGGGCATACTATCCCCAGGTTTAGGGGCCAGATAAGCAGGATAGAGCGAGTTTTTTTCAAAGCCATAGTACAGGAGCCAAGAGCAGAGACCTTGTCAGTATGAAAAATGACTCGTAGGTTTTACTGGAGCACCGGAGAGGCCAAATGGTATACAAGCAGCCTTGTATTACC